TCTGTCTACTTTTGGAACTGCATTTCTGTTGCCAAGGAAACTCCTTGAAGCACAGCATTCTAGGAGCACACTGCTGCTTTTGTTTGCCAGTATCCTATTCATATCATCTAAGTAAGCACTTTACATACTTTAGCCTCCAGTTTCAAATGTTGAAGTCTTTATGTATTTATATTACCACGTTAAATATAGTTTGTGCTTCTTTTTAAACTCAGGGACTCTTGCAAGATTATTTTAACAGTTGCATTTAAGAACAGTTTTTTGTGGGGTTTTTTTTTCACAAGTTTGCAATAAATTAGTTTTAATTTGAATAATAGCTCCATAGGTTATAGCACTAGTCCTTAAGTGTTAATTATCTTTTCACTCTGAAATTAATGTAGTCATTTCCTACTGACTCCTCTACACCATTATTGAAGTGCTGAGGAAAACATGTCATTGAGTTCTGAGCCAGAACTGTTGTTGTGATTAATCCTGGTCACATGGCCAATCTCTGCCAAAAGGAGATCACTGAAAAAAGGTGACAAAGACAGTGATTTCCTGTCAGCAAAGAGTACGACAGGGCTGTCTAGAAGTGATGCAAATGAGGGAAACTTTCACCACGGTTTGTTTGATCCACTCCGGGCCACAGCACACTGAGCCAGCGAGAAAAGCACAATGGAGCAGCAGCACACCCAGAGGAGGAAATTAACTGCACCTTCCAAGCAGGGATAGAGCTTCCAGCAGGGAAACAAAAACTGCTGGGAGATTTTTTTTCCCCCTCAACTTTTTTTGAAATATATCCTTAGTTTTTGATGTACATTTTTGTGTTATTTAATACAGTGGACCACTGCCCCTTGATGAAAGAGCTCAGCAGTTAACCTGTTCAAAAGCTGTACCAACTAAATGCTTTCAAAATCTTTGCACTACTACATATGGATCTTTTCCCATCTATCATAATCGTTGCTGAAGAATTATTAATTAAAGACTTATGACTTATGCAATTTGCATTACAACCACCATACACTGCTTGTAATCAGAAAAAAAAATATTTATTTTATTTGATATTTTGAAATGCTTGGTTAATTTTGTTCTGAACCTACTAACGATTTTAACAATCATACTGTACTTATTTAAATAGGGTTTTAATCTAACACAATTAAGTTTTGCAATTAATCTTCAGAGGAAAATGGAAAGAATTATCATTAACTTTTCTGCTAGTATACTTACTTCTAATCTCGACAGTTCTCGTAAGTACTGATTTGCTTCATTTTTGAACATTCAGGGTACAGAATCACTCAAGTTCCTACTAAAGGGCTAATTAGCAGAGTTTAAATTCTTTGGGTTTGATCCTCCAGTAACAGCATATGAATACAGCTGAAGTCAACGCAAGTTCTGTGTACTTAGAGCTTATAAGATCAGGCTCACATGCAGTAGATTAAAATGAAATAAACATGATACATTTGGCATCAAACTGAGCTGTTATAGAAGTACAAAGAAGTAAGAATCCAAAACATGGAAATGATCCTTTTAGTTTTTTTCTTAATTAATAGATAAAGCATTAGAGGAAAAATAAACTGTCATCAATTCATTCTGTTACTGCCATTTTATCAAACACTAGCAGATTTTCAATATCATTAGCTAGTTTAGGGCTATAAAGCAGAATCATTTAGGTCTAAGTTCTCTTTTCTTTTAAATCTATGAACTGAAATCTAGGAAGTCTAGAGAAAGTAGTATATTCATATTCAGTATTATAAAAAATATGGCTATGTTGTTCCTATTATAAGGGCAAAATAAAACCTAGGTAAAGAGAGATAATAGGGATCCTAGTAAAAAAAAAACAAACTATGAAGTTCCTGGAATATTCGAAATATTAAAAAAAAAAAGAAAAATTAGAATATTAGGGGAAAAAAAAGCTTAGAGTTGACTTAAGTGTATATTGTGTCTGCAAATAGATACTGTAAAAATACTCTAACCATGAAAATATATTCCACTTTCCTATATACAATATTAGTGTTTATATATTGTGGTTTGCTGCTTTAATGTATGCTTGCCCCTTCTGAATTACCTGTTTCATCATTGTTCCTTCCCATTCATAGACTCCTTAGGGGCAATGATTACTGTTGGTAATAGTGATACCACAGCAGGTTCCCTGGCAGGGGCTGCTTGCTGAGCTGGCTCTGAGCTGCAATTACTTGTCAGCTCAGCAACTGAGAAGAGAGATCTGTGGTTTAGGAGAATCCACGAAAATGCAGAGAGTGCAATTAGCAGGTTCACATTTGAAGCTGTAATTGATAAAGAGAAACCAAAGCAAGACCTGTGTTTTCATAACACCCCACATCACTGAGGAACTCTGGCTATAATAGCTGCCTGGCTTTCTGTCCCTGCGGACCAGAACGGCTGCGCTCTCTGGGAAGTGCAGGCAGTTCTCACGAGCACTCGACCATTCACAACTTTGAAATAAAATGGGTGTCACCACTGATTAGAAGAGAGGTTTACTAGGCTAGTTTTATAAAACTATTAATACTTTTTTTGAGGATATGATTCATTGTCACAAAATCTCTAAAATTAGGGATAGTAAAGAGCTAGTGATTTATCTGATTTTTACTTTGCTATTGCAGAATTGTTCCCTCAATTGCATTAGCTAATGTTATCCTTTGTGTATTTTTAAATGTCTGAAATTATCGGGCTTTCAGCACTTCGAGAGGTTGTTCATTGTCGTGTTGGGGACTTGTTGTTTTGTTTTTTGTTTTGTTTTGTTTTGAAAGAATGATCGTTCTAAATGCAATGCAGTTAAGATTTTTGCATTACGTCAAGTATTTCTCCTGCTTTGTGGACGCTTCTCAGTCATCTCTGTGCAAAGTCCACACTTCTAGTTAAGGCTTTTGTTCTGTCCTTAAAAATTTGCTTGCTGCTCTTACTAGAAAGGTAAATGCAGTGAATATTCACTGCAGGAGGGCAAGGAGTGTATTTCTACCTTTGTTCAAGTGGTTTTGTTGAAGTTTTGAGATGGGGGCTCTTAAATCTGGTACAGTAGCCTTTAACCTCCTAGCAGAAATTGCAGGACAAATAAGCTGCCTCTTCTTTGGAATCAGTGCTGGTTTGTCTCTGCTGCACAGGCTGCAGACTCAGCTACTCTATCATACAAACTTTCTGCTTTCAGAAGTGTCATGCTTGTCACAGTTCAGAATTTCATAATATTAAGAAACTATTCCCATTTTGCATATATAATATTACCCATTTTCCACCATATTATACTGCACATATTTTTAAATTGTTGCCCTTTTTTACTCTTCTCATCATGCACTGTTATGTCAGCCTTACCATCTATAATTATTCTTAGGGGTTACATTTGGAAATAAGAAAGGGAAGTATGCTAAATAGGATCTAAAATACTTGAACTGGCTGCTTAATCTTTGTTCCTTCTCATATTGATGGATGGACTGCTACCTTAAGATTTATGTTTATCAGTTTATTTTTTTCAATATAGGACAAAAACTAGCAGTTGAATTAGTCATGATACAAGCTGGCTTTATACAGACAGGCACTAACTACCAAAACACCTTATTTTAGACTCACAAGAAAATCTTTACTCATTTCTGACTTGTTTATTTCTGAGCCTGGCCAAGGCCAGGTCTGTTAATGTGTGGTTAAGTCTGATGACGAACTTACAATGTTAGGAAAAAGACAATAGCTAAAATAAAAAATAATTGTCAAAGCAATTGACAAGGCCAGTGAATGAAACTCGCAGACTAAAATAGTTTGGATCCAAACTATATGTGCATTTATAAACATATTTTAAGTCACATGACAGTCCCTTCTTACTGGGTATTTTAAATAAAATAACTAAAATAAGAAAGAATAAAATTCAAGGAGACTATCAAGAAAATAGGATGCCAAAGCAAGAAAAAAAAAATTGTATTTAAGAAATTATCAAAACATTCAATCATAGAAGAAAGAGAACAACTTCTATTTGACCTTGAATGTACCATTTATTTGATAAGAAATAAAAAAAAAAGCTAGAGGGTAGTTGTTTCTTGTCATTATAGTGTTGCTGATTCTGTGGTTAGTTATTAATTTTATTTTTTATGATTCACAATCTGGTCTTTGAAATATGCCATATGCTCAAAGCAATTCAAGGATGACAACTGTCAGAATTACTCCAATAAAAATTGCCTAAATGAGGAAGATTTACTGCAGCCTGATATTTCTATCAAAAGCCCCTCCTTCCCCCCCACCCCCACTCCTCAGACCCATAGCTCATCAGACACACGGTGAAGCCTGAATCAGTTTTAGGATCAAGTCACACATTTTGAGGCAGTTCTTACAAGTATTATCTATCTAAAAGAAATGATAAATCTTTTTGGGTTAAGGTTGCTATGGCAAATAAAAGAAACCATATGTATCTGTATGCATGTATGTACATGTACATACACACAGACATATATACACACACACATATATGTACATATATATATGCTAGAATTAGACCCTATAGCTTCACCCTACAAGTTCAAAATCATGTGAAGACTTAACATGACAATGTCTACTTTATTTATAACTAATAAAAACTAAATTGGAAGAGTCCTGTATCCTGGCAGCAGCAAACCAAAATCAAGGCAAATGTCTTTCTTCCCAGATGAGGTCTGAAAGGTGGATAAAAATCCAGCTGAAAGCTCCAATCAAAACACATTTTGTTAAAAGTTCCCATTTCATTTTTTCCTTCATTTTGTTTCAGTCTATTTATTAATGCAGTTTCATTTATTTCTATTCATCTTGAAGACAAATCTTTGTCCTTCTATAGAATTACACCAAATAGAATGTGATAAAGGGAACTTTCTTGCAATTATGATGTCGGTGCAGCCTGTCAGTGCACAGGGGATGGAAATGAGGTTGGGGACAGGGAAGGGAATTCTAATAGACACCATGATACATACAATGAACGCAGCGATATCCTGTGAGAGAAAGACTTGTCAAGCTAATCAGATCTTCTATAGCTAGGTAAAGGCAGTAACGGTAGGGCTAACCTTGTAAAGATGCTGCTGCTGCTCCTCTGACATCATCAGGTCATGGCTGTCCATCACAATGGATTCCATGTCAATCAGCCAATCCCAGAGCTCCTGGTATTCTGAATCAAAGTCCAAAAGGCTGTAGATAAGGAACAAAATGTATTATGCATAATACTGTGTAGTTGTTAAAATCTTGTATTAGAATAATATATTCTTGAAAACTCATGATGTTCCGAGTTATATTTCTAAAGAGACATTCTGTATTTATACAGTGTGGATGAAAATGAAAACTGAAATCCAATTTAAGCCAGTGCCATGACCTAAATTCAGCAGCTGATGCCAAATCCTGACAATTGCTGGCATACTGCATTTGTTTCAAAAATTTTGAAATATAAATCCCCTACAGGTGTTGTTAAATTATTTTTACAGCACTGGCTTCATATTGAGCAAATTTTGCAACAATCACCTTGATATAATTCAAATTAAAATAACGTCTACATCAAAAAATTACTCAATCCATTCGGCCATCCCTCTGCTGTCTATCTGCCTACCTTTGTAAATATCCTACATTTATTTTCATGGATGAGTAGCTAGCATTTCAACTTAACGCCTAAAGATAGGCTTGAGTGAATATGGTAAGCCAGTGAGAACTAAGGCCAGATACAGTATTAGACAGGTGTTCCCTACAGACATGTAAGAAACAAAGGTAAGGACAGGAAGTCAAAACAATGAATCCTTGAATAGCCAGCAATCATTAAAATTCAAAGGAGGATCACTACGGTTTTCAACAAAATAAATCATTAGAATAAGGAGCTTAAAAGGATTAATGTGATTTTCTATTGAAAGCCTAGTGAATAAGTAAAGCATAGATTCTTCTAAAACACTGTGATACAAGACAGAAAGTACATGCTGAAAAACTGCACATTCGTCAGATAGATACCTCTTGAAAAGGGATCTTCAAATTTGCAAAATTGGAATTAACAAAAGCCTTGCCAGTAGTATCAAAAAACTCCCATACTGATCAAAGAATAGTTCATGTTCCACTAAAGCTAATTTCTCCAATTATTAAGAACTTTTTAAACAACTCCATTAAAAAAATGAGCAGTGTTTCAACAGAGAAACAATAAACTAAACACGCTTTTAATGTCATTAGTACTATTGCAGTTTTATTTGTTATTAATTAGAGTACCACGTGTATGGTAATTTTGAAAGCTTACAGATAAAGTTGTGACAAGTAGAACTGTCTTTGCTCAAGAAGGCAGGCAAGAGAGAAGAAAGCATTTGCCTTCTGTGGTATTATTTTCAATGAATTGACAACAAAGAAAGTATTGTATAATGCACAAGCACTGATTCCTGCTTCTGAAGTAACCCTCTAGTTTAATCCACTGTACTTAGTATACTTTTACTCAATAATTTATGAAGTGCACTTACTTAAAACTGCTTGCTGCCCTGAGAAGGTAAGCAGTGTTACCATAAAGAAAGAAGAGCATGCACAAAAGGTCAGGTTACTATTACTGAAATATAAGTCTCACTTGGAGTTCAGGGCTTTTTTCCTGTTTCAGAAGTTATTTGACTCAGATATCATCTGGAAACTAAAAGAACACTAAACTCCATTTTGTATTGTATATTTGGCAGTGTTACTGAATCTTCACCCCTTCCTCGGAAAGCATTAATTACCATTCTGCATCTTCAGTACCTACTGCTCCTTTTCCATCTCTTCCATCTTATCCCAATATTATTCAAAGACATAAAACTGACAGGCAGTTATTAAAACATATGTTCTATAACAGAAGATGTTAGATTTCATAACCTGAAACTGGTACAGATTCAGTTGACTTGGATGGTTTGTACCAGTGAAAATCCTAAATTAATATATGAAGATGATGTGAAACAAAGCTTACGTAGAGAATGGCATGGGATGCCTTTGGAAAATGCATGAGGAGGTGGACTTGGATTTCTCTATAATAGGCAAGAGACGTGCTGGATCCAAACATCTGTTTTGTGTCTAAAGATCCACATCTTACTTACAGTCCAAATTGGTTCATTTATTTGTATTGAAATGAATCAATCCTTTCAAGAAACAGAAATGCACTTTTCTTTGATCTTTATAAAAAATGGATAAGCACTAGAAAACAGCTGACTATTTTGATTTCAAAATAATGATCTAAACAGGAACTCAACACAAAACCAAGAGAAACAAGATTCACTGGAAAAAGCCCAGGAAAGGATACAAGACAAAAGATTTGGTTTTCTTCACCACAGTTTATATAACGTACTTATTCTCTCCCCCCCTTTTTTTTTTGTTTGGTTGGGGTTTTTTGGGTTTTTTTTATTTTTGTTTTTGAGGGGATTTGGGGTTTTTTTTGTCTGTTTGTTTTGGTTTTGTTGGTTTTTTTTTTGTTTTCTGAAATAGAGTCAATTCATCTAGATGCGTATTTATGCAATTGTCTATGGCAGTTATTTGCCTGAGCCTGAAGAGAGAGAAGTCTACAGAGCATCATCAATATTCTTTAAATATGTTTGCAATACTGTCAATGGTTTTAGAATATCTCTGATATATATTTTTAAAAACAGATTTTTAAAAAATTAATGTCTTGCATCTAAATGAATGAATTTATTGATCACTATTAAATTACTGTTTGGAAGAGGATGCAAGTACTAAGCCACTAAAAAGATATTCAGAAAAATCAAGAAATTGTAGGACTAGAGAGACATCAAGATTGAAATGTATCTGTCAGTACTTCTGGGGTATATTTAATATTTCTTTTCTATTCAGAATCTACTTTTCCTGAACTTAGCAGATCTTTCTTTTATATTGCCACAGGCAGAACCAGGGAAAGCATGACTTCTGAAATACTGATGTATGTCAAAGATGCAATTATCATAGAAAAGATCCAATTTTGGCTGATTATATGAATCCACCAAACTAAAAAAGGAATAAATAATTCATATGTTTATTGAAAAAGAAAAAAAAATCCTCTATTAAAAGTACCCAAACATTGCCAACAGAAGTGCTATAATATTAGTTAAAGAGCAGGTAAAAACTGCTTCTTTGATGAAGTTTGTTGGTTAATAAGCTAAAACCATCAACTATGTAATAAATAAAATTACATTAAGACGTATATTTTGTCTTGGTAAACCAGGAATCAGATATGCAGAGTTGCATGTCTAATCCCTTGAACCCTAAACATATTTCTTAAAATGTGGACACCAATTTATTATTTTGAATGAAAATTCATGAGCACCTTTCTCATGAGAAAACCAGTTCGTCTGTGGCATTAATAAATAAAAAAGAATGTGAAGCTATTTCCATGAGCCTTTTCCCCCATGTTAAACATGCACTTCCAGTTTGTAGTATTTCTTTGATGGCATATCTCACATGGCATTTAGAAGTACTGTAAACACACTGGTACACCTACTGAAAAATTCAGCCAGACAAAATGTCCCTTCAAGTTTCTGGGTCATAATTTTTTGGAACTCTTTTCACATGTTTTCATTAGGGAGATGTAGAAGAACTCAGAGTTATCACCTTAACAGTTTTAAAACTTCCCTATGTCCAGCACATACTTAAAGACCTCTCTAACACATTTCTTTCAAAGTCTCATGCATGAAGGCCCAATACTCACTGATGACAGGATCTTAGGATCTGGTTTTCATGCTGTACAATAGTGCTGTCCATATCTTCCAATAGGACCTGAATGCACTCATCTCTAGTTTGGAGGAGATACAGTATTTCCAGCCCAGTTTGCACCTGCCCTAAACATTTTGCACTGCCCTAAACTACTCTCAGGTACCTTTTACCTCCTGGCTAGCTGGTGTTCTCCTGCAGTGGATATTAATTCTTTCCTCTGTCACTTTGGCCATTTTCATGATAATATATAAAAACCTTCTCTACTGCTGTTTTAACAAGATTATTATTTTACAGGAAATCTTCACTTCCTTAAACCCACTAGAAAATCATACTATTCTGCAAATACTACCCTACCTATCTCAGTTTAGCTACTTCCTGCACAAAATCATCTCCCAAATCTCCTACACATACACACACACACACACACACACACACACGTCATGTAAAAAAATTCTTCATTTAAAATAGCTCTCGTTCTCCCTGTAGACAGTCTTCTTTTTACTAGGTCAAACTTCCACAACAGCAAATGGACAGATACCCTAATTTGCGTAAATAGTCCCTTCTCTGTAGAGATCTCTGTCTCTAGTTAGGTCATGCTACTGTGGAATTTCTGTCCATGGTTTTTATGCAGTAAGGAAATGTTGCACCAGTTGTATTTTTAAGTAGCTGAAAGGAATTTCAATTTTTTTCAACACAGCATCTCAGACAGGTTCAACTAAAAGTTTTCCGGTTTAATTTAGTCCCCGCTAGTTTCTACAATGGCTGAATAAGTGGTATTATTCTGGTCTGATTCCAGCCCTTTGGCTCCTGAAGTCCCTGTTGAGTCTCTAAGGCCTGAGATGGCCTTACAGGCCCAGAAAGGTGGTCACAGCACTAAACAGGTTTGAAATAGTAGCAGATGACCATTTCCAGTTCAAAGCATGTAATTAAAAGTGAAAATAAGTGCATTTAAGAAACACTTGATTATCACATATGGTACGTAGAGTTACAAACTGGATTTCTCTGTGAAGCATAAAGCTTTACATCCCCTCCCTTCAGGAAAATTAAATGTCTGCTGATGTGTCTTACATCCTCCGCAATATTCCAGCCTTAAGCCTTGCTCACATTCAGTGATGGCTGCAAAATTAGAAGGTGGTCTTGAATGCGTAGCCCTCAGTGTACATTTATATACATGTACACACAAATTCTGAACAAATTATTTTTACGGTTGCCACTAGCTGCACTGGCATGTTTGAGAATCTGACAGATTTCTGCATATGTAATCAAGATCTCAGTAATCCTACATAATTAGCCCACATCATCTTTTCTAAAACAGCCATCTTTCTGTATAATAAGAGGGGATGTTTACAAGGCTCATTTATCTTTACAGTAGTTAATTTAATAAAACAGTGTTTCCAAGACCTGAACATTGAGTTAATAATTGGAAAGGCGAGTTCTTGAGATAAAGAACTCAAGAACACCTTTGTCAATTACTTTTCTTGCATAGTAAATTGCAGGGAAAAGTACTTGCCAGTTACAAGGAAACTTCTATCAGGATGAGGCCATCCCCAAACAATGAGCACTAGTTGGGTCCTTTGACTTGCTTTTGGCCTACACTATTATGACCTCACAGGTAGGTTTTTCTATGTTCATTTTGGGGTATTAGTGGTTAGAAGACATGGTTTTCAGAAGACCTTAAATAAAAAGTCTTCTTCCAGAATTACAGGTTTCCTTGATTGTGAAAAAGAGAGGGAAGCAAGAACTCCTTTGAGCATAGTCCAGTGATTAATATGCTCAAAATATTGAGATAGAATGCTTTTGAATGCACACTTTTATATATTATATATATGTGTGTATTCGTGCTAACATTAATTAAAAGAAAAAACAAGTAAAGGAAAAAAAGTCTAAAAAAAGGGAAAACAGTTAAAATAAATGCTTTCTTGAAGTACAAAAACCTGTATATTTGAACTACAATTGAACGGCTTCATATTCATATTTCTTAGTCACTAGTAGAACAATAGTTATAGAGGTCTTGCAAACATGCGATTTCACTATCAAGATTCTTCATTGGAAGATGTTAAGAAATCAAATAACATGAGGCTGCTAGAGGAGAAAAACCTAAAGAAAAAGGACACAATAATTTTTTTTAAATCCAGGTAACATTTTACTATTAGATATTAGGCGTTCCTATGAACAAACCATCATTCGGATAAATTATCCAGAACCCATTATTTTTGCATTCATATATTTTAAAAAAGAGAGCAATAGAAACAGTTTTCCCCGCCTCTTGGCCTAGGAGGAAAAATCCTGGTTAACTAGTAGTAAGAAAAAGTATATAGTGTAAAAAAAAAAAAACAAAAAACCCAAACAGATCAGTGAGAATAAAACAACAAAAAGAATAGTTCCCTACCCATTACTTCCCACTGTGTGAACTTTTGACATATCAGCAAACTCTTCCTTTCGCTTGCTACTACTGTTGTACTGCTCACTGTACAGTTTTAAGGACATCTGTTCAACAGCATCTCTTTGTGCTTCCAGATAGCATAGCTGAACCTCAGCCTAGAAAAAGAAAACAAAGAAGGGAAAAAACAAAGCAGAACATTATAAAAATAATTCAGAAAGAATACATTTAAAACAAATATTTTTGGACTACAACAGTTTTATCAAATTATTCATACCATTAGTTTTCTCCTTGTATGTGACAGTGAAAAAGGCTGAACCATTAAGTCAGAGAACTATTGCATAATCCCAAATGCTAGAAATGAACTACTGAAGTTTCTATTAGAGAATGTGTTATATATTCCATGAGATGTATATCCAATCAAATGCTGCATAAAAATGTCTGGACATGAATAAAAAATATATTAGAAATCAAGCACTATGATAGAACAGGTAGATACATAAAATTATATTTCTTACAGACTTCAAGATTTATGTTGTTAACACACTGTCTGTGCTTCATAATTAATGAAAGCCATATTGCTATAGATATTTTTCCTTTAAATAGTAATTGTAAACAAACCCAAGCAGATTGGCATTATTCACATTCTCCTTTCCTGTATCTGGCACAGACTGATTACTCAGAAACCTTAATTGCAAGGAAAAAGGCAATAAGTGAGATGTGCTGTTTTCCATCAGACTGTGTCTGTCCAGAAAAATGTGAAATAATATTTGGCATCATAACTTATTGAATAGACACTTTATTTATTGCAGCTGTGGTGATCAGTATTCTTCTGGGACTAAAAGAACCAGATGACACAAGGATAAAATCTGCTGTTTGCCACACTTGCCCCTAGGAACAGCAGAAAGAACAGAGCATAGAGTAAGTTCAAAAGCACTTTGGGGCTGATATGCCATTGTTTTCTTTTAATATAGTTCATTGAAAGAAAAACACATTACAAATTCTGATAATGCTTCAAAAATCACTACTTCTGTGTATCTACATACTTCTATTTCCATTAGGAGTGGAATGACTGTTTAACTATTTGGTGCTATGGCAAGTAAATGCAAATGGCACAGAGGAAATTTTGTATAAGGACTCTCTTGTATTTTCTGTTGTGGGAGGCAGGGAAGTAAAGAGTTAATTTGTTTGCTGACAGCACAGCAGAATTACCAATCTGTGAAACAACTGAAGTCATAAAGAGAAAGTAGTGAAAGGGCTAGAGAGAAGGGCAGTCTGTAAAATGTAAGAAAAATGCAAGCAAGTGAAGGGAAACAGGCACTGAAGAATGTCAGCAGGGAAAGTCTGAAAGAAAGCTGGAATGTCTTTATAAGCCTGTGGTAATAAGAGTTTCTATATTTGCTTAGGCCTTGCCTTGGTGTGTTTTTTGCTGAAAAATAATGTAAGTGATTTGGAAATTCCATTTCCTTTTAAAACTTCTCATTCAAACTTTTATAGCTCTCTTTCTCAGCTGCTTCTTACAGTGAAATTAGTATGCTTTTCAATAAATCCCAATATGTTTTTGAGAAATTTAAAAACAAAGTAACATGCAAAAAAACCTCCCAATAATACAAAAAAAATGCTAGCAATTTTCCAAGGAGATAGAAGATAAAAATTCTGACCAGCCCATGCAAGTCTTTCACTGTGTATTTAAATATAATTCAAGGCTTTTTTACCTATTTTAAAATAGTGGAAAATTAAACCACAAAAGTTACCAATGAAGAAACATTATCTAAACTAGCTGGAACTGTCCAGTTAGAGTAAAATGTTAAGGTTTGAGAGAGCTGTAAAACTATTCTGCTTTCTCAGCAACTATAATTAAAATTGCCATTTTTATAACTCGGAAACAACCAAGGCAGCAAATAAACTGCATCACCTTCCTGTTCCCCTTCCATCCCCAAGAGCATTTTCGTCTGAACTGATAAGCAGTCCACTTCCACAGTATACAGAGATTCCTGAACAAATTTCTTTTTTGGAAGAATTCTTCACCATTGAGGATAGTCTTTCAGCAGAGTATTTTGCATTGTGCACATAAGGCTATGAATGCGTTATTTTAATTTATTCTTACCACAAAGCAGTAATTCACTGTATCATTTTGATTTCCGTTATATACGTTGGCATGACACATTCAGTCTAAACCCCTGTTGTCAGTGACCAGTAAACTTCTAAAACAATTGGATCTATCAATTAAAATCTGTGAGTGTTTCAAGCCTAGAGGAGAAATCTTGTGGAAAACTTTTTTGCATCAAAAATTCCCTTATTTTCAGGACAGGTTTACAAATAAAGAAAAGTAATTCCCACTTTTTTAGCTATGGGTTCTGGCTGGAGTTTAGATAGAGTTTTCAGGGTCTTCTTGGCTGTTACTGAAATTGTGTACACAACCTTTCTTATTCCCTCCTACCTCAAGACTCCAAAAAAGGGAGTAGCCTATGACCTCCAACATCACACATCATAATCAAAACTGACCCCTCAATTGTATGAACACAGGGTATTTCTTAAATAGCAAAACTATCACAATAATTTAGATAGATTTTCCCCTTGTATTTTCTAATTCCCCATCCTACAATTTCTTCTATATTTTAAAATAAAAAATGTTAAAAATAAAGGCAGCAGCTTTTTCACAGGTTGGTCATGCCCTGTTCACTTGTAAAAATATTTGTAGGCAATCCAATAATGAATAAGGAAAATGGGAGAATAAAAAGAGCTATTAAATAGAACAGTGGGGGCAAGGAAATGCAGGATGTAAAGGGCAGGTAAATATATGAAGAAGGATAAATAAGAGTCCACTATTTCTTCCTTGCAGCTATAAGGCCCTCTTGTACTAAGGATTATGAACATCAACATCATACCCTATGAAGCCTGAATACAATCCAGGTCCGTCACTTCAGAAGTATGATCTCTCTATAAATCAACTATTTTTATTTTTAAACCAAATTTCTATCAACGTTTATGAACAATTACAGCGACTCAAACTCAGACAGTGCAGAGTTTCAGATGGATCTCTCCAATTTCTCTTCTCTATGTATTCATCTATCTCACTGTTATACTTAAGAATTTTTTTTTTGTCTCTGTTATACTGATATCAACTGCAAATCCAAAGAGGCTTTGAAGACCTTGAGTAGGTATTGATCATTTTAAGTCTCAAAAAACTACATTTTACAGAATCTGAGCTAACAGGTACAAGGCACAATATAGAAAAAAAGTACAGAGCACAGATATGCAATAAACCAACTGCAGCTTATTTTCAACTTAAAATCTTTAGTGGTAATGAAGGACTAGTTTTGCAATATTCTGGGAGAATAAAGTAACAACTTTAGAAATTCCTAATCAAATATAGAAAAGCTGCTTGATTTACGTTTAAACCTGCATTGTATGCATTTTCAGATTCCCCTACATATAATTTTCATTACATACCATAAACTTAAAGAACAATCTCTGTAACAGACACATCTGTATGGACACAGATATCTATCAAACCCTCAAAAAGTCTACTGGGATATGCATAGTCCCAAATATTGCTAATAGAAATTGGGTGGGAGGTAATCATTCACTTACTCCTACTGCTCCATTGTAGAATTGAAATTCAGTTCCTTTTTTTTTTCAGAGGATGTAGTACATCTGCATATGTGAAAAATTGATTACAGAGGGAAAAAATGGCGAGGAACTATACTCAGCAGTAGTTTTTCACTTCATGGTCTAAGTGACCATTTTTGCAATAAAAAGATAATGAAAATGGTGATGAAGTTCTTGCTACACATTTGTAAGGATTCTCTAACTACTAGGATGGAATAAGTTTAAAATACTCAGTTATAAATTAAACTGAAATATTTCCAATAATCAAATTACAAAATTCTCTCATTTTCCTGAGGTGGCAGGAACCAGTCTCTGAACAAGACTGTGAAAATACTGTATTCTGAGAAAAAAAAAGTGCCTAATACTCAGTTCTAGTGATTGATTAATAATGGTAAATAATTTCAAGGCTTTTTTTCTAATGCTCATTTTCTAAAAACCAAGAACTTATAAATAAACTGGGAGAGCCCAGGGTACAAATCTGTTCATTAAGACTGGCTTTGCATGACAACATAAAATGTCCTTTACTCTATAGATCACTATATAACATGAAGGAGTAATCAGTGACAATACAAATCAATGAAAATACATTGCATTTCTTGTTAGACCTGCATGTTGGAATGACCTTATTCTGAAGTGGAGAAAGACAAGGGGTAATGACTCTTACTGTAGAAGGAAGGAGACTGAAAGGTTATATTGTATAATGTGTCAAACAAGAGACTCAATATTTACACCAATGTAAATTGGAGAGATGAACTCAGAGCTAGTGATTTGCTGCTGCAGATTTGGTGTTTTTTTTGAAATGTACTAGAATAAATATCATTGATTTGGTGTTGAAAGGAAAGTCTTTTCAGACAGTGTCTCCCAGGGAGCACAAGTGATTTGTTATGAACCATGTTACAGTAAGCAAACAATTCTGTGTTTTAGATACACAAATTATATATAATACATTCAGTTAAATTTAAATGATGAAAGTATCCTGTCTTGCATTACCCTTTCTTTACAGTTCTATAGAGAGACTTTACTTCTGCCACACTACATTGTACTTAGTGAGAATTACATAAGAAATACAGACATTTTGTTCCTCTGCCATTAATTGAGCTTAAGCTGAATAAAAACAGCCTCTGAAATTAAAGCACACAATCCAGTTTCTGCCAACAAGGACGTGGTTGGATGGCCCCAGGCAGCATGTAGACTTAGAATACTCACCTATATGTATATTTTAAAGAACTGCAAAGTCAGATGTCACTTTTCAAAAGGATGCACATTCCAGCTTGTCACTCTATATACTTACAACTGGTGAAATGTCTTGAGATTTAAAATTGAGAATAATTTCTTCCCAGGATTAAGTTAGTAAGAGTAGCATTTATGTGCTTAAATACTTAAAGCATTTTTTTTTTTCTGTCACAGCATGATGCATACTTGTCCATGTATTTATTAGAAGGCTTTATTATGGAACACAAAAAAAGACCCTGGCTCTGTCACAATATAGCCACTGAATAAAATTATTTTGAGAAGTATATGGCTCAAAATATTTTCCATGAAGATG